AAGCTTGGGCTTTCCCAGAGGAAAGGGAAAGTTGTTTATGCTTTGCAAGGTGCACACGTATCAAAGCATATTTTCTGCTGTTCCCCATAGGGCAGCATAAAGCGGAGTAACCTGAAAAGCCAGGTGATGCAAACTTTTCTTTAATAACTTTTACTGCTAGTTGACCTGGGATGGGGGAGGGAGGCTTAAGATTCATTGCCCCTGGGGGCTGCCAAGGACATTTCAACAAAGCACGAAGAACTGAACAATTTCCTCCCTGGGAATGCCAGCAGAGCGAAGGGAGGGCGACGCCACAGGTGCCCAGTTTCCTGTGTGCTGCTCACTTAACCCGCAAACAGGAGAAACCCTCTGCCAGGGCGCTCAGCGAGGATACATTCTTTTATGCTAGGAGACAATGGAGTCTGCTTCTGTTCCCAACAGAAGGCATCAAATAACTGCGTTTGAAGACGTCTCCATATCCCAGCTCAGTTTTCTCCAGCGAGTACACTCCAGCCTTCCCTACCAAGGTGCTCTCCGGGTATGCTGGACTCCAACTCCCATCGCAGCTGGGGATTATCAAAGTTGCAGTCCCATACATCTGGAGGACTCCAGGCTGGAGGGGGCTGAGGTATATTCTTGCTCTCTCCGCCCAAATTCGGCCACGATGCCAAATCTGGGCAGCCAATCATCACCTTTCAACTAAGCAGCACAGCGGTGGCATCACTGCGGAGCCCATCTGCGACTTTCATCTGCTCGGAGTTTCATCTTCCTTAATCAGGAAGGTTTCCTAGGTAAATGGGACACTAAAAGAGATTGCTTGTGACTCAGGGTGTTGCAACACATCCCAGCTTCACGTGTGTGATAACCATGCGAGCTTAGGTGAAAATGGAAGTGCTATTTTCACCGAATCTGGGGAAAAAAGGAGCTAGCGGAACAGTAACGAGGAGCATAAGTATTAAGGGAGGAAGTGGAACAACCTCACTTTTCTACCAGGAAAAAGCAATGTAAGAACTGCTTAATAGCTAAACTTCTGTAAGGGCATCGGGTGGCACCCGGAGAACTCTCAGAGTTAGCACAGACATGCTCTGCTAGCATTAACCAGTCCATGTACAATGCACTGGGCACAATGCACTTGGAAGCAGCAACGCACCCCTGAGCTTCAGCAACAAGCCACCATTTTCGCCCATTGCATAAGAGTTCTCTCACACGAATGCCAAGCAATTAACCCCAGTGCTGGGAAACTGAAATAAATGCATGGTGAAGTTGGGTTGGGGTAGGACTTCACCACAGAGCCAGTGTGGTGTAGTGGTGAAGAGCATTTCTCATTCACTCATTTCTCCAAAGGAAACCTGCTGAAACTAAGGAAGAGACTACCTTGCCCAAAAAGCCAGTGTGGCGTAGTGGTGAAGAGCACGGGACTGGGACTCAGGCGATCCGGATTCTTGTCCCCGCTCAGCCATGGAGCCAACTGGGTGACTCTGGGCCAGTCACAGACTCTCAGCCCAACCTACCTCACAGGGTTGTTGTTGTGGGGATAAGATGGAGGAGGAGAATGATGTAAGCTGCCTTGAGCCCTTCGTAGGAAAAGGGCAGGATGTAAATCGGAAAATAAATAAATAAATAGGAATGACTACAGTGGTCTGAACATTTTAGAAGGGGGAAACCGCAGTACAAAGCTCAGAACAGACCTTAGGTTAAAAGTCTAATAAACTCAACCTACATAAAGCCTGAGCGCCAAAGCTGCCATGTTGGTAAGTTCACGTAATACTGTTGCAACGTCACGATGGAACTGGAACTCTGCAGCTGGCTACCTGAAGCCTGTTTGGCTACCAAGCCCACTCAGACCCTTCAGACCCCTGGATGCAAGGAATGCATCCATCTATTGGACTATCTATCTAATGTCCCACCTATTTCCCCCCTTGAAAGGAAGCCAAGGTGACTTGTATATTCACCCCACTCCTCTCCATTGTGCCCTGTGAGTTAGGCCGGGCTGACTATGCCTGGCTCAAAATCCCCCAGATCTCCTGAATCCCAGCGCCATGCTCTAAGCACTAGACCACACTGCCAATGCATCATACCAACCTCTTTTCTCATAAGCAGTTTCCGATGTTTTTCTTATCAAAATGGCTTGCCTCATCTTTAGTGATCCCTACCACGGGAAACAATCATTTGTGCAATGATTCCATTGCTTAAATATCTTGCCTCCTTCTCTTCTTGCAAGAAAACCAAGACAATTTTAGACTTTGCTCCTGCTATGCGTATGTGAAGCTCACCTCACTGAAGGTCTCCATCGCTGTTTGAAAATGCGACAAAAAGGAGGAAAGAAACGAGACGGGGGCTGCCAGACTAGGACCTGCTTCTCCTGCGTCCCAGTGCAACGCTCCTGCCACTACACCAGAGCCAGTCCAGAGTTGTCCTGACATACTGGCAGTGCCTCCTATATTCTAGCAATGCATCGCTCCTTAACTGATTCCACCAGGCTCCATCCATGCCCCATTCAGTGCGGTTACGCTTCCCGTTCCCCTTCCCCTTCCCCTTCCCCTTCCCCTTCCCTAGCCTAGCCCAAGGGGCCAGTCTTTTTGCAATCAAAACTTGGCAACCTGACGATTAGGTCAGGAAAGAGGCAGACCAAGGTCAGCAAACATTATTCTGCTTCTGCCTGGCACAGCCCCCGACGTGTTTCTCCTCTCTTTTTTCCTTTGCACTGTCAAACAACAACGGCTACCTTCGGTTCGGTAAGACTGACCTCGCTGCTTCTGAGTAACAAACTGCTTTTTCAACAAAGACATTAAGGATGTAACCCCCATGCATGTATGGACAGAAAAAGGTCTTACGACACACACACCGAGCTAACAAGAGCAAAGTCTAAAATTTTAAATTTAGTTAAATGCAACCTAGAAATGTAAGAAGGACAAATCTTGGCAGGCATGCCAGTTGAGGAAGAAAAACACGTCTCCAGCAACTTCAGACTGCCGTGTGCCCTTTGTGGCTGTATAAGGCCCTGCAAGAACACCAATTAACTTGAACCCTGGTTACTCTCTTACTATCCTGCTGACAGTCACGTTCTTACTTATTAATTGCATAATGGAGTCTACCACTGTGATACCACATAACCGCAGTCTCCACTAGCATCAAAGGGCCACAAAATGCCATGGAAAAGCCAAACATGGGCCAAGTGGTGAAGACCACGACGAAGAAAAATAATGGAGAGAGCGAGGTGGATTCAATTCGGGAGACGTAAATCCGCAGTTTAAGTCACCAAGGGGGAGAAAGTCTCCTGAAGCTGAAGAAATGAGCAAGTTCTCCTTTTGTGTAATTCATACAGCAGAACATGGTTGCATGTGAATTGGTTCCTACAGCAGTTACAATGTATTTTGCCTGCAACATAATGGAATTTCCGTACAGTCTAAGCGCAGTTTGTGTACCTATTTTTGTCTCTCACTCTTGAGAGCTTTGGCTGTACAACGATCCACAAATTACATAAAGCAATTGCTTAATTAATAAAGCTCAGCATGTTTGCCTGGTACATACATGGGAGAGTAAAACCTAGCCCTAACTCACTCCCTCTGACAACCACAGAATTAAATATCCATGCCATTGGCTGACTGTTATAAATATTGCTGGCTTGACTGCTGTAAATATAGTACATTAGCTCCCCTTCTATTTACCTCGTGCAATACTGGGTGGTGTTTAGCAGTTCCTATGTCAAGGTAGTCAGATATCTGACAATGCAGAAGATGCCACATCCTTTACCTGCTGCTGCCAGAGGTCATCCTGCCTCCTCAGAGACAAGTTATGGATTTGTTCTTCTAATCAATCAGCTTTTATTCTGTAAAATAATATCCATGCCATGCAGCAAGCCATGTTGAAAAGAATTGCTACAGAAGAGTTAAGCTTTTCTAGCAACCTATCAAGGCAGCTGCTTAAGCCAATGTGGCAGATCCAAGCACTGAAACCAAATTACTGGGAAACAGTTAGAGCCCCCCTGTTCAGGCCAGGAATGCTAATGATGCCTTGTTTGTAAGCTGGAGCCTTTCCGTGAAGAATCTCTTTGGTAGCAAATGGCTTAGAATTATTTTGGGTTGCTCCTTTAGTATCTAACCCTGGGATACCTACTTACTCTTGCTTCTCATCTGCATTCTTGCTCAATATTCCCATGGCTTTAAAAGTGTTTTCCTTGGAAGTGCTGTGCTATTTGTACCTAAGTCCAGCCACCGGAGCCTTGAACCTCCCACAGGTCTTCCTCATCCAAAGTCAGAATCACAGCCTACATCTTTTGGAGGTGCCTCACAGAGGCTGGGCTGAACTCTCAGAGCTGCCAGGTTTTCCTTCTGGCCAATTCCAGTAGACTGGAGAAGAAAGAGGGCCACTGGTCATGGAGAGCAGGTGGTCTAGAGAAAAGCATTACTCACTGTGGCCACAGAGGGAGATAAAAATGTTTCAAACATGCACAACAGGACTCCAAAGAATTCAAACACTGAAAGAGGCCAGCAACTAGCCTAACACATGAAAGAGATTCCCAAGATAAGTGGAAGCTTTAAATTTAGTCCTGTCAAATTTTTAAATCCCTACTCATCTTTACTTAAGCTTCACTCATGCACTGCATTTCCAATTAAGGTACATCTTAAAAGTGACATAATTCCAGCTCTTGAAGGCACACAGAATGTGAATGAGTGAGAGAACCTCAAGCGGTAAGGAAGAACTTTGGCTGAATTTAGAGTTCTCTTGCAGGAAAGGTGTGGACAGACTAGTTTTGGTCCACTGACAGACAAGAGAAATTGTGCAAAAACTACAAATTGGCAACTTGGAAGTAGCATGAAACCACCAAGCCAGGAGTTTCTGTCTTACCACTGGCAATAACCAATGGCTTCCAAAAACAACCAGTTCTTAAAGCAGCAGCTGGCCAAGGGCTCATGATTTTGCCATCATCCGCAAACTCTCTCCTCCTCTTGAACATCATCACATCTTCTGCTGGTACATCATCACAAGTGGATGTGCATCAGGTACACCACCAAGCTTACCTGTTCTTTGTCAGGTTTGTCAGAGATGTCATTCAAACTGGAGGAAGTCAAGTTTCTATGTGTCATGGCTGGGCTACCTGGAGGTATAAGATCGAGATCCTGTTAAAGCAACACTTGCAAAGTACAGAGAAGGACACAGAGGCCCAGGATGCAGTAATACTTGACCAAGGTAGTTGTAAGCCTAATATAACAGACTAAATCATCAAAGAATATAACAGCTAAACTAGTCTAAGAGAGAACGCTATCCCCATCAGCCAAACCAAGCGCCTGCCCTTGGCAACTGCAAAATAAGCTGACATGGCACTCTCCAACATCATTCCATTATCCCAGGCCACCTGGAGGAGTGCCATGTCTTCATTTCCTGCTTCTGGACTTCCAGGAGGCATCTCACGGGCTTCTGAAGGTAACAGGATGTGGGACTTAACGGATTCTTGTTTTGATTCAGCAGTGTTGCATTTATATTCATGGGTACTTGACTCATTTTGGGGGTCATAAGTTAGGAACACTATAAGCATTACCCTAATTTACCCAACCAGGAACTCACAGCTTGTAAGAATATCTGAATGATGTCCTAACATAACCCTTCTCCCCACCAATCGTGTCAGATAATGGACAAGCTAACTGGGACAGAGTTACTTTCCTGCTCCTGGAAATGCTTTACAGCCAGAGCTAGACTGCCCAGATTAATAACAACTTTACTTAACACGAGAGAATGAGGCACATTCTGGATGGCAAACAACTGGGGGAAGAAACCCCTCACCCTTCATTAATTAAATCTTCCAAGTTAAGTTCATTCTGCAGACAGTAAGAAGCCTAATCAAGGTCAGAGATCACAGAAGCCATCTGAATCCATCCAGAAGATGCTTGGGCCTGGTCCTACAGACTGACCTGCTGCAGCTGGTGGAAAGAGGGGCTTATTGGCACAAGCGGAGGCGCACAGATCCAGTCTGTCCTTCTGATACTGCCTGGTGGCTCAGCTCCCACCAAGCTGGATGCAGCTAAGATGCACCAACTTGCAGCGTGGCCTTCATGCAGGCCAGGAGACCATGAGAAAGGTGACCTTGAGGCACTCCTTCCTCTGCATTCCCACATCCTGGCTCTTCCACAGGCAAGGCCTGCTCCCCCACAGGGTCTCTGCATACAATGCTATACCAGCACAACATTCTGGCTGGCTGAAGTCACGGGAACAAACCACAATGGGATGTGGAGAAACCGCCACATTTCTCCCCCGACCAAATAGCTGGACTGCGGGCACGATTGTTTCTGTGGATGCCAAATGCATTCCAAAACGGTAGGGTTCACAATTTCATTCAGAAAAATGCATTGCTGTTCCTCACTGAAATCAGTACCATCCTATGCATGTTCTGACAGAGCAAGCCCCACATTTCTCAGCATGTCCCAGCACTGTAGGGTTTTTCTGTCTTGTTCCCATGCAGGTTTTGGCTAGAGGCCATTCGCTTTTACGGGCTGGCTATTTGTTGCCATTTCACCAACACTGCAAGATGATGACCGGCAAGCAAGGCCGTTTCTTTAGCCAGCTGCAAGCTCTGATTGCCACAGCAATTGAGTGACTCTTTCCACGCAGTTCTTTTAACTAAAGGGCATTGCTTCAGGGGGCTTATTAAAAAGGAATATGGTCAATGAACCTGCACAAAAGAAGCCTCCACCTGCGCTGTTGTTTATACCTCAAACAAAGTGCTGCAGGTTGGGGATTGCCTAGAGGGAAAACAAAACCATCCCGATTTGGCTAAGGGAGACTTCATAATAATCTAGGGGAGGAACACACAACACTTTCAACACTCCTAACTCACAAAAGGACTACATAAATGACATATGCAAACGAAACCAGTTCCATGGACATGGGCATGCAGCGACTCTGCGCTCAGCTGGGCGAGGAGGAGGCTGCGCTGAATCCCCATGAGAAGGTGGGCTCACAGAGCACAGCGTATCACCCTAAGTCACTCCACAGGGTTGTCACAACAAAGAACCGCAGTGCATTTCAGTTGTGCCAGGCCGCCACCACCGAAAGATAACAGCTAGGCAAGCAAGGCTGGCAAGCTCAATTCAGCAGCAGCCCGGAAAGAAAGCAATCCCTGCACTCTGACTTTGCAACCATCCTGGACTGAACTGGTCCAGGGCTTACAGTGCAGCATACCTGAGCTCCTTTCCACCGACCTGGAAGTCAGCGTCCCGGGTTGCGAGGTGGGGAAGCTTTGTGTTAGAGACTGGATACTGTGGCCAGGAGTTCATGTCTTCTGAGCAAGCACACCCTCCGATACGTGCACCGCTTGCCAGTTAGCTGGGCTGTTGCAGCACACCCCTCTTCCACTCTGCATTTCGGCCACACAGTATGAAATCACTCACTCAGCTTAAACCACAGAACCGTAGGAGAAAAAGAGGGCGTTGAGGCCGTCCATCCCAACCCCTGTTCCCTGACAGAGGGGCATCCCAGCCCTGTGTGACCACGTCCAGCGATGCCGAGTTCACCCTGAGCAACTGCTTCTGTTGCCTGCCTACTCAAACACTTGGGAAACTTTCTCAATGTTGAGCCAAAATCTACTTTCCTATAACTTAAGCCCAAGTGTGTGAGAGTCTTTTAGGTGCTTTAGTCTCCACCTCACATTCTGCAGCTTCTTTTTTTAAACAATTTTTTAATCCATCCTGCAGTTTCCAATCCATGCATCAACGTTCCCGCTAAGAAGAAGAGAGCCATTTCCACCTTTAGCAATGTGTCTGGGAATTCCAATTCCTCTGTAACTCTTGTTGCTTCCATCTTGGTCACCAGGATGACACTGACGCGACACACACATATGCATGCTCTCTTTCGCCCACACACACCTGGAGCACACGGTTCCCGGAAGGTCCACCCTGTGCTCCACCCCCATCCCCACTTACTTAGCCATCCCACGCTGGGGCTGCGCTGCACGCGGATTTCGTCATCCGATGTGCGGGTCGCTAGGCAGGGCACTGAACTCTCAAGCGGGCTGCGGGCTTTAGTGTTGCAAGCGGAAGGCAGAGCAGAAGTCAAGAAATGCAGCAACAGGAGGACGCAGGAGAGAACAGAGCAAAGGAAGAGAAGTGCTAAAGCAACTACATAAGCAAGGAAGTTAAGACCAGACAGCGTTCAGACACTCAGGTTAACACGCTACAAACGACACACGTCCACAGACCAGCTTGTGCCAACTCTTTCCAGTTACTTGCAAAACTGGCTCATGGGCCACCTAAGCAAACTTTGCAGCTTTCCAGCTTAGGCACTGTTCTGACTTTCTGCATTAAATATTAAAAATGAAGGGGAGATGAAAGAAAATATGTAAATATGCTCCTAGATAATCCAGGCTGAATTCAGGCATGGCTTGTGGGATTTTGCCCTCTGAGCAGGTAAGCCTATTTGCACAACTGGTTTTTGTACTCTGCACAGATATGAAAACCAACCTCTGAGAAGGAGCTGCAAAATATCAGAGCCCTCGGAAAGACAGTGTGAGATCTGATCTGGGCAATCTGCCAGATCCTTTTCATTAGGATGCTGCCTATTTTACAGGATCAAGTGTGCACTTCTTGAATGCATTCAAAAAATGAGTTTTGCTGAAACCTAATCCAGGAATGGCCTCTGTATTCTTAAGAATGTTGACCTGTGGCAACCAAAGGACTTGAAGGCTTACTTGTTTTGCTGGCCTGTCTCAAAAGTATTGAAGCCCTGCTCCAGCCCAAGGAAGCCACAATTAAACAGCCGGGCTGCAATCTAACATACACTTATCATATTGAACAGAGTGGAATTTACTTCTGAGGAAATATGTGCAGGATTACACCGTTAAGCCTTTAAGATACTGCAAGGGGTTTTTATCCTGTACAGTCAGATGCTACTAAATTCTCCAGGTTCTGGCCCAGGCAGCCAGAAATGTGTCGTGCTGGTTATCAAGAGGCCTATTTGCAGTTCCTAATCTGCCCAGTAATAGCTGCAATACATGGTCTATAATGTCATATTCCGAACATCTGACTTCAAGAAAAGATGTGCAAGGAATCCTGCCAGGATGGGGAATCCAGCGCCTCCTTCTCTATGTGCCCTCCTCTCCTTGAGATCTGAGGTGGAGGTCCTGCTCCGGGAGCTCTCCTTGAAGGAGATTAGGAGGGTGATAACGCAGAGGAGGGCATTCTATGTGGTGGCACCCCAACTATGGAATGTGCTCCCCAGAGAGGTTCTCCTGGTGCCGACTTTCAGCTTCAGGCAAAACCCTTTAATTTTCCCATTATTTTAATGTTTAATTGATTTTAACTGGGGTTTTAGTATCTTAATGGTCAAATACTGTGGGGCTGTTCTATTCTATTTATTTATTGTCAGCTGTCCCGAGACATTCTGTAGGTGATGGGATAGAAAAGCTTTTAACAAATAAAATACAATAAAATGAATAAATCTGTCAGAGTTACTGACAGCTCCTGGCTCAGCTCCCCGGACTCCGGTCTATTTTATCAAGGCCGAGCAGCAGCGCAGCATTGGGGAGGGGGGGGGTGCTCACTAGGAATCAAGCCCTGTGAGGTGTGGTTGGAGCTGCACAAGCTGTGGTTGCTCCTCACGCTGAAGAAGGCTGTTCGTGGGGCACGCAGCCACGGACGCCCCCCAGGAAAGCAGCTGTGCAGCTTCCCAACACTGCTCAAGCAGCGTCTCCCTTCCACGGCAGCTACAGCCACCTTTTGTGGGCTGCGGCCGCTGATGAAGAGGGGGAAGCTTCCTGGTTGCGCAACAGGGACTCAGTGAGCATCCGTGGGCTTCTTCTCGGCTCAGCTCTCTTTGGAAGACCAGAGAAGGGTAAGAAGAAACCCATGAATGCTTGGAAGGATGGATTTTGACAGCGTTTGACCCATTCATAACTTCAACAACCATGCATGTTTTGCCTGAGTTTATTCTTTAGCCTTTAATGAGTATGTCCAACAAAGGATTCTGAATTCAACTCTAACGTATTACGCACAAGTGCTTTAAGAGATCTGCATTATATCAAACTGTTATTTTAAAAGAGGTTGCTTTTAAAGACACAACAAAATGGGGCAGGGAGAATTTAAAAATCACATTTAAATAAAACTGAAACTTGAAAATTTGTTAATCGCATCTAATCTGAGCATGCCATAGGAATTTGCCACATTCTGATTAAAATCTGCTTACTCTCAGGGCAATGTAAAAATTCTTTGGAAGGTACATCTGATCTTGTCACCTAAGTGACCTGTGAGAACAGCCACTGTACTTGCTGCAAACATTTCTTAGGCATTATTTAAATTTCCAAGCCTCATCTGTTTAGATTCACTCTTGCTCTCAACACCTATACTCAGTGAGTAAGTTTTCAAACCTTTCTTGTAGACTCTTTGTCAAGAGGTGCCCAAAGACAGATACTGGTGGACCAAAGATTTGCAAGTTTTCATGTGGAGAAATGGGCCACCTTTGCAGGCATGAAAAATGCTGATATCTGAACAATTGAAAAGAAGACAGCCTTTGTTTTGCCCATAATTCTTAGCCTACATGCACATCCACGAACAAAAATTCCATTTTATAACTCTTCAAATGTGCTAATGACTAATCTGCTTCTCTTTTTAACTGTCACTTGCAGAAATAGCTCTTCTGTCAGACACCCTTCCCTTCTTCTCTCTTTTCTCATTATTTTAAAAGATCTGTTAATGCATTATTCAGCTTCTGAGGACAACTTGAGCGGCACACCAATGAATAAAATTCTCTTGCTCTGACCTGCAATAAGCCGAACTGTTTACCACAAGGTTCTTGATGCATTTTTAACAACTCCTGGTTTAAATAAATAATCATGATAAATAAATGATTGAATTCTCCATTTCCAAGCCATTGTTTTATACCAAGGGTATAGATGGTATCACAGGTTTCCTCATTTCCAATGAGGTTGCAAGTTTGACTTTAAGTCATGATAATATCTTCACTTGAACCAACACCCATTGGCGAGAATTGTCTGAACTATATTCGTAACAGTAAGTTTTTTCTCACGGTCTACCAAACCTATCCCGGCAAAGTATATTGCTTGAACCATCCTGTCTGTCTGATCAGCTGAGTTCCTGGACAACCACAGGCTCACTTATTCCCTCAACAAAACACAGGCAGCAAGGGCTGGATCCACACTGAATGCAAAGGAACTTAAGTTAAATCCTAACAAAGGCAAGGCTACTGGGATTTAAAGAAGGCTAGGAATCCAGTAGATTCTTACACCAGCGAACTGGAAGTCCCAAGATGGCTCACACCTGAACCCATGCAAGTCACACACCAGTGTCCCCCATCCCTTTTTGGCTCAGTGGCTTATTTGGAATGTTGAGAGCCCATCGGGGGCACTGTCACAAAATGGCTGTAATGGGGGGGCGGTATGGGTATCGTGGAGGGTATGGCTGGTCACAAAACATTTACAGCCCGAAAGCGAACTGGAGAGGGAAAAAGAAAAGCAACTTGCCTAAAGACCTAGGGATAAGGCAGAGGGGAAGATCTGCATCCAAAACAGAAAAAAAAATCCTTTTGAACCCTAAACATGGATGGCACTGGAGGACAGCACTTCATTTTGAAACATGTCACCTCCCCAGTTTAAAAATCATCAAAAGTATCTTAAGAAATACAGTAAAATTCCAAAGGGCTAGGAAGCCAGATGGACCACGTGTGACGCCCTCAGTCCACACGGTCCACAAAAGCATCCGGGATTTCATCTTGGCCTCTCCTTGCTTTCCACTGTCAGCCACAGCACATATCTGGATAAGTCAATGCAAGATCCCTAGGTAAATGTATGTCAAAAACCAGAATCCAGACACACATTAAAGTCCTCTTCTGCATCCTTTCCCTGGCCAAAGATGTACCGTCCCCTGATTCTTCCCCTCTGCCCCAGCCTTCTTCATCTGCACCAAGGGAGAGAAAACTGTTTTAGCACAAGGAGATCTTTGCAATCTCAGAGGTAGACAGGAGCTGAGGGGCAAAGGAGTGGAAGCACAGAAAAGGAAATGGGACTCCAAATACAATAAAATGCACCCACAACCAGGATTTCTCCCGTAAAGCTTTTACTGATGGTAAGCAAGTCTTGCCCATCTGTTTCGACAGAGAAGACCATCATGCTAGGGAAAGTCGAAGGCAGAAGAAGAAAAGACCAAACAGAGACGGACTGACTCCATAAAGGAAGGGTTGAATTTGCAAGTGCTGCGCCGTGGAAAGAATATTTTGGAGGGCTTTCTTTTGTAGGGTTGCCTTAAGTCAGAGACATCTTGACAAAACGTAACAACAACACCCAGACCTTAGGATGGGCAGAAGGTGTGTAGGGGCAACTACACAAAAGCTGGGTGAGCGAGGGAAGGGGTGGGGCGAGGCAAAGGGGGCACAGCTATTTGAAGAATCCTAGGAGGGTTCCACTGGGAGCCCAAGAGGGCCAGGGGTGGTCGCTAGACCAGAGAATGTACACCCTTGCTGCAGGGACTAAGGAGGCTTGATCTAGCAGGGGGACGAGATGCATTTCGTACACACACCTGCACTTGGATAAAGGAGGCAGAAAATGACCAGGAGCGGATGAAAGGGGGCTGTAGTGAAGGGATGGAGGGACTGCGGGATGGCAGTGAAGGGGCTGACCTGGAGGAGGCATTCTTCCTCCTTGCTAGGATTTGTTCGGAAGGGCGATGTGTCCCTGCCTATTCCCCAGGCCTTTTTCCTTGCCGGAGCCACACATCTTGTCCTCAGCCCTTTTCCCACTGAGCTGGACAAATTTTCCGGTCTCCATCGCTGGTGCCCTGCTCCACATCAGCGCCTGGGAAGTGCTGCAGTGAGGAACCGGCTCCTAGCACAACACTTGCCGAAGCTGCCGGGACCCCTCTCTCTGCTCTCCAAAGTCCATCAACAGCCCAGTCAAAAAGCCACGCAGTGTTCAGTGGGAGGACCTCACACAAAACATTATTTGAGAAAATAATAGGGCCATGTTGAATACAGCAACTGTGCCCAGGGGTCCAATGCAAGCCACTGGGCTCCCCCATCTGGCCTGCAGGGCAGTCAGAGGAGGGGGCTTGGTTTTCCCTGGAGGAACCGCTGATGCCCCCAAATCTGAGTCACTTGCCCAGCACACACACCCCCTGCTGACTGAATCCCTCTATGCATAGCTCAGTCAGCCTGAGGGAAGCTAAAAGGGCAGGGCGCAGGGCAAGGATCCTGGCTGGTACAGCCACTCCCAGGACCTAATTCAGCCCGGTGCCGCCGTCTGCCCCAACCCTGCCCGTGTCTGCACCCCCGGAATAACCAAACACGAGCTTGGCAGAAGGTCCAAGGAGAAATGGTCTGGGAAACCATCTACAAAACTGGAGTCCCATTCCTGGAAAGAAGCATTTACATTTAGACTTTGAGACTACTCAGAAGAGTGACAAAATCCGGCTGAAATGCTGACGTTGACACAGTTTTAGGAAGAGAACACGAGCCCTGCTGGAGGTTGCCATAGAAAGTTTTCTCTGCCCTCAAATCTCACACCAGCTGGCTGAGCAGAGGGAGGTGAGACTGGCAGCAAGCCTGGGCCACCAGCCCTGCTGAAAGAACAGATGTTTTCCTCTTCCTTCCCCCTGCCTTTTTCCTTGTGTGCCGTGTCTTTTTAGACGGTAAGCCTGTGGGAAGGGACTGGCTGGTTTAATGGATTACATGTAACAAATAAAGCACAGAGTAACAGAGATATATGGAGCATATTATGTGGGATATTTTTTCCTAAAACCTGAATAAAGCATCATGTCAGACAGTGCCACCTACACCAGGCATTCAGGACTGCACCTCTTCTTAATTTGAGGACTTGCTTTTCATGGAATTTCAGCTGAATATCGCCCTGCACACAAGCACCATCATTTTACTGAATTATGCTTCCAGCGCTGGACTAAAGACTCACTAAGGGCAGGAACTTGTCTGTTTTTGCCTGTGCGATGCTGGAAGGCTCCGTATGCACCAAGGGTGAGCAACTCAGAGCCCTCCATACATTCCTGGGCTGTAGCTTTTGTTGTCTCTCACCACTAGGTATGTTGGCTAGGGCTGTTAGTTCTCACACATACCCCACTTGCTAAGGCCCTACGCAAAGTAAAACAGCCCTGCATGTAAGACTCCTTGCTCTTAGAAATCTAGCCCATCAGGTTTTAAGCTTTCTCCCTGACATACTAGCTTTCTAAGTGAAGGGTGGTTGGTTGGTTTGTTGACAGGAGATTGGTACAGTCTCAACAGTTTCATAAAAGGTGACCCTGACTCCTGCTTTGAACATTACACAGAAGCTAGAAACATTTGTCTTCTCTGCTTTTCCAAGCATTCAAGTTCCAACCCTCATATATATAGCAGGGGAAAGCTCGGAACAGGTGTCTTTATTACAGATGGGGTCAAAGTACTACTTTTAAAAAAACTATCACTTGCATTCCTGAAAGAAGCATCTTAAATGTAAACTACTATCTTGGAATAATAAACTCTTATCTGTACGGAGTAGATGCCTGAGCACAGAAGTGCAATACACTGAGTCATTTTGTTACAGTCATGTGAGTGGTAAATCTTTAATTAGAGACCTTGGCTTTTTGCTTTTATTTTCTTTTAAATCAATATTTTTCCTAAGTCCCCTCTCACCTAAGTCCCCTGCCATGATACAGGGCCTTACGCACGGCTAACTCCTGCATGTTCAAAGCCATGAGATAAGCTTAGAAAGCATATTTTGGAATAGCGATGTCCCTGGTTTATGGGCAGGGAGGACCGGCCCACCCCTTTCCAAAGCAGTTCTCAGAAGAACAGCCTTTGGGCTGCCAAACCAGCATAGGAGACTCATGCGATGTACATCTGTGATCATGCCGGGACTACAAACCTCTTTTCCCTGTGACACTTGCTGGAATCTCACATTATTGCCCAGAATTTCATGTTCAGCTTTGGAGGACAGCTTTGTAAACTGTCACAAGATTCTTTGTAAAAAGTCATGAGATTCTTTCGAGCAAATGATGGTACAGAAAAGCTGTAAGTAAGAAGTAAATAAATAAGTAGTATGCCTGTTTCACACTAGATGCTTTACTCAGTGTTTTATTTGCCCAAGCAATTAACTAAGACTAACACAAACAAAAACACGCCCATATCTTTCCCCGGTTAGCAGCAAAGATATGGTTAGAGCAAGGCGCCGCAGCATTAGAAGCTTCCAGAAGCCATGCCTGAGATGTCGGCCAGCATGGTCTGCTAGTCTAGTCGTGGGTTAGATGCGTTGCCATGAAGTGACGTGGAGTTAGTGGGTTTTCTTGTGGGTCTCTAAGGGAACGCCACAGCCCACTGGCCTCTGCATTACCATTATCGGGGTTGGTAAACATCCTACTTGCAGTGGAGACAGTCTTCCCAATGTCAGCCAAGGAGCGCAGGTTGGACTTTTTGGTCTGGTGCCGATGCTTCCTGAGCAGCGTGTAGGTGACCTTGTCCTTCATGTCTTGCTTCAGTAGTCCTGTCTCAATCTGATTGTCAACGACCATCTCTGAGTTTGGGGAGTGGAGAGAGAAGAAATAGAGGTCACTGCATTAAAACTAGGAAAGTTGGCTGGAAATTTGTAATTATGCTGGTAAATTCACCTCTACCAATACATCTAGGGCAGCACTGTCCCATCTGGTGACAAGCGTTGCAATACACACAGACAACAATGGTCATGCTATCTCTTCAGCCTGGAGAAGAGGAGACTCAGAGGGGATATGTTGGCGACATACAGGTATGTGAGGGGGTGTCACACGGAGGTGGGTAGGGACCTGTTCTCCCCTGCAGAGGAAGGCAGAACGCGCTCCAATGGAGCAAAGCTCAGGGAGCCAAGGTTCCATTTAGATGCCAGGAAGCACTTCCTGACAGTCAGGACCCCGAGGGTGTGGAATGGGCTTCCACGAGAGGTCATTAAGGCCCCATCGGTGCGGGTGTTCAAGGATAGGCTGGACATCCACATGGTGGGCATGTCGTGAGTGGAGCCGGCTGGTGCCGGAGATCAGACTAGATGGCGCGGGAGACCCCTTCTGACTCGCTCTGTTTCTATGTTTCTATGCTCGATACGAATTTTAGTCCAACGTATTAAGAAAGTGCTACTTGGGGAAGGCTACTTTAGGATTTCTGAACTTTGTTTTGTAAACAACCATTTTAAAGAACTGCCTTTCATTGACTTTGAAATGGCTTGTTCTTCTTTACAATGCATTATGTTAAAATGAAAGCTAGCATTAATTGCATTTGGGGTCATTTTGTTACCCCAGAGAGCAATGATTCAGGCAAGGAAAATGCTGCATGTGAAAAGGCCTTTGTCTGACCAAAAGTTTTCCCCAGGAGGTTTGAATTAGCATTAAGAATGGCTTTCAGGAAATGCAGGTACTTTAACATGTAATCTTCTCTGAGGCAACACATATCAATAAAATCTGCATAACTGTACTTGGTCTATTGGCCTTCAATTTGCATAAAAAAGTTTTGCCTGCAAACCTTAAATCAGCCTCTAAAAACTTGCTCACATTGAATTTTAATTATATGTGCTAGAGATTTTAGTTCAGACTCTTGGCTTTGAAAACAAACTAAGAGGTTAAGTAATTAACCTCTTTTTATGCTTCAAAATGTGTTCTTTGTTTGGAATCAAAAAGTACCCCACAGAACTATTCTTATCCAAACGTTGGGACCTTTTGTTCCCCGGGCTCATTTAGGTTTATAGAAAGAAAACTATGAAAAGGAAGGAGGCTCAAACATGGAACATCTTTGACCAGGCAGATTTTGATAATGTCCTAGACTGTAGGCGAAGTGACATTCAAACTACATAAGAGAACACAAGACAGGGGGAAGCCCATTCACCAAGACACTGGATGAATGATAAAATACACAAGGAGATCCCCACCCCAGCTCTATCAGTAACATACATTAGATTACCAGGCAGCCATCTGAAAGCACAGCAATTTCTAATTTAGCTGGGAGTGTAGGATAGCAATGTTCGCAGTGTAAACCGTCCAGTTATGCTCCTATACCACTGGCACATTCAACTTTCAAGGTAGGACTGTAACATCAGAAGATATGCTCAGTGAAATCCAAACACCTGGAATCTGATACAGAACTTTGTTTCCTAAGATTCTTTGCCATGTTTAAAAAGCAAGTTTCTAGCCCAGATGCTGTGATGAAATTTATAAGACATTTATGTGCAAGCAATGTCTGTTGGAAATTTTGGAAACTGGGACGGAATCTTGCAGTGGAGAAAAATTCCATGAACTGCCAAGCAATTTCCTTTCTCTCCGAAGCCCCAGACCTTCATTTCTCTCCACGCTCTAAGTCTGCCCCATTCTTCTATGCCCTATGCCAGTGGTGGCGAATGTATGGCAGGCGTGCCACGGCGGGCACACAGAGCCCTCTCTGTTGGCACGCGAGCCAAGTCGCCCCAGCATCGCCCCAGCGGCCGAGCATCGGATAACAGGGCACACAGGGGCCATGCGCATGCTCGGAAAGGAGCAGTGGTGCCAGGCGATGACGTCACGTGCCGCGACTCATTAGCCGTGACTTGTCCGAGCTTTCGCATTGCTGGCCAGTACACCAGCAAATCTCTCTCTCCCACTCCCTCCCTCCCTCCCTCTCTCTCTCTCTCTCTATATATATATATATATATATAAATAGTATTCCTTGGACTGGCTGTAAGTTGTTTTTTCTAAACTAAAACCTCAGTTTTTAAGTTTTATTGCAGTGTTGGCACTTTGCAATAAATAAGTAGGTTTGGGTTGCAATTTGGGCACTAAAGGATTCACCATCACTGGGTTAGGGTTAGGAAAAAGAGGTGTCCTGGCATGATTTTGATGGCTGGAATGTGTTTAGAACGGGCAGAAATGATGAGCTCTGCAGAAAAAGCTACTCAAGGCAGGCTTTTTCAAAATTGTCCTATTTTCAATGGAACTTTAGCCCTAAATTAGGGTTAGGGGAGTGCACCAGGGTAGGGTTAGGGTTAGAAAAATGAGGTGTCCTGGCATTGTTTTGATGGTTGGAATGTGTTTAGAATGGGCAGAAATGTTGAGCTGTGCAGAAAAAGCTACTCAAGGAAGGCTTTTTCAAAATCGCCCCTTTCAATGGTATATTACCCCTATATTATGGTTAGGGGAGTGCGCCAGGGTAGGGTTCGGCCAGTGGTGGTGAACCTATGACACGCATGCCATAGCAGGCACACAGAGCCCTCTCCGTTGGCATGCAACCCAAGTCACCCCAGCATCACCTCAGCAGCCAAACATTGGATAACCGTGCACAGAGAGGCCATGCGCATGCTCGGAAAGGAGAAGCGGCATCAGGTGATGACATCATGAGCCGCCTCTCATTAGCTGCGACTTGTCTGAGCTTTCACATGGCCGGTCAGTGCGCTGCCAAGTCGATACATATATATTTCCTTGGACTGGCTGTGAGTTGTTTTTTCTAAACGAAAACCTCCGTGTTCAGGTTTTATTGCCATGTTGGCACGTTGCGATAAATAAGTGGGTTTTGGGTTGCAGTTTGGGCACTCGGTCTCTAAAAGGTTTGCCATCACTGCCCAACACAATTCCACTTCTTGCTAGTATACACAAAGCAGTGGGGGGGGGGGGACAGCAGTGAGTGTGCAGTCTCATGGAGACACAACAGGACTTCCTTCTGAAAACACAAGCGCAGGACTGGGCTGTTTTACACAACCAGGAATTCAGGGCATTGCAGTTTTTTTTCGGCAAAAGAGAAATATGGCCCCATAAAATAAAGAGAACCATCTTGCAATTCCACTGACTTAGGTGGAACTTTCAGAAGCAAACCACAGTGCCTGGGGGAACTGCTGACTTTGCCTTGGGTCTAATTATGCTTCTGTAGGAGCATCTTGTGGTACATCAGCATTCCTAAACCTGGTGCCATCCTGATGACAATGACAACTTCCATGACTCCCAGCAAGGATGCTCAGTTCCTAAAACGGCCGAGAGAACAGGAGACAGAGGCCAATACATCTGGGGGAAGGATGCTGCAGGCCATCCAAGATACAAGCAACAGAGGTTTGCGGCCGAGCCTTTCGGGGCCAAATCCTACATCTTGTTCAATGGACCAGACCGGCTCTGACAGTGCAGCGGTTCGTCAGGGCACTTACCGACAACCTGAGGGAGTGATGAGGCCTCCATATCCAACATGATAGACCCTTTCTCTATGCACGTCCTCAGCTCAAACAGGCTGTGAAGGGATAATGTGGCGACGTGAGGTTTGCTCCATCGCTCTCCTCCCTGCTCCACTTTTTCTTCGAACTTTATCCACCTGGAAGAGGAAAACAAAAGGAGGAAGATGAGCCTACAAAAAGTGCTGCTTTTTAGGTGGTTGTGAGGTTTATGAAGAAAGGTAGCCTGTGAAAAGTAGAGCAGAACCAGAGCAACCCTGTGCGGAACAAGAAGTATAATAAATCAATCAACCTGCAATGCAGAAAATACCAGCACCTTCTCCGCTGTTGAGTCGTAACAGATCCAAGAAGGACATCTCCGTGCCTTAACTCAGACATCACAGCAAAGCATGGCTTGCACTAATTAATTATTAGAGTCAAAGGCATGGCCTGAGCTTATGAAAATAATAGGCACAGTAATCTTTGGAGGTAATGGAATGATAGAAACTATGGCTTGCTGATTCACTCTCCAGCTCTAGCCACAATAACCAGGAGCACCAACCATGGTTTGCAAACCTATTTACAAACATGGTTTCAGATCCTGGTTTCCAATCAACCACAAACCTCACTTTGGGAAGAACCGAGAGAGCTTCAATTATTGGGAGGTACAGAACTGCAGTAAATACAAGGGGTCTTCAAAAAGTTTCCACACTTTTTAAAACTTTATTAAGAATTTCAAAAACAAATTACATCACTTCTACATAGTCACCTTCCTTTGCAATGCATTTTTTCCAGCATCATACCAACTTTTTAATGCCATCAGCAAAAAATATTTAAAATATATTCATAAAATATAAAAGTGTGGAAACTTTTTGAAGACCCCTCATATATAAATTTGCTCATTCAAATTTCACACCAAACTCCAGTCAAGCTTCCTGTGTCACAGTTTGGCATCATGATGATGATTCCATCGCATTTATATCCTGGCTTTTTTCCTCTTAGGAAGGCTGACACAGCTCCATTTTATCCTCCCAACAACAACCCTGTGAGGTCGGTCAGGTTGAGAGTGCGTGACAGGTCCAAAGTTATCCAATGAGCTTCATGGCAGAGCAGGGGTTAGAACCTGCACCTTCCAGGGTCCCCACCCAGCACTTTCATCACCACCCCACATTTCAAATGAGCCCTTGCAATGGGAAGGTCCCTTTTCCAGTGTTATCTCACTTCAAAACAGAGCTAAATGGAGGGACATCAGAGAAATCCACCAGGAGCTGGATTTTCCATGATTCTGGCGGGAGAGATTTGCAAGTGCTGGACCTCTCTCTCAAATGCAACTATTAGAAGGTAAAGGAACTCCCAGTCGGAGTTTACCAGGTTTGCAACCCTTGGTACATGCTTATGAAACAGCCCTTAGGTACGGAAAAAATGTTTTACAAGAGACAGTGCTTGCCCATTGCCCTAATCGTCAACTAAAACAAGAGAAAGACAGATGCCCTTGTTTTAAAAAAAAGTCTGGACAGTATTTTCCTGAAATACAGCGACTGGAATTAAAATCAGGAAGCCTTCTGCATATGTAATAACGGTGTTGCTAGTCTGTGCAGCAGCAGCTGAGCCTTTGAGGAACTCCATGTCCTGCATTAATAACCTGACCTTCTTTGCAAGCAGCACAGTGCTCTTGCGTAAGTTACGAAACAGCAGAATTCCTCATGGTTGCACAACATCTTCTCCAAACCGGCGTCAGTGGTGTCCGTCTGAACAAACTGTGGCTCTCCGAGCACCCGGATTCCTTCAAACTCCTTAATACATAAGGGATAGCATTTAAGCCTTTCCAACTGTGGCTTGGAAAGCCTGACAGGATTTCATCTAGTGCTGCAACAGGGAAACCTAGGGAAAAATTCCCTCCCAAAGGAAAGCTTTGTATGCCAAACCAGTAGCTGAACACAGAGTTTTCACTTGCTGGGGTGACTTGCATTTGCTTTGGAAAAGAGTTAAATTGGGAAGACCAAACATGAGATGAACTGAATCCATAAAAGAAGCCACAGCCTTGAACTTGAGTGAGCTGAACGGAGCTGTCATGGGCATGACATTTTGATGGCTTCCATTCACTGGGATGCCCTAAGTCAGAGACAACTTGATGGCACAGAACAACAACAGAATTAAAAATGTATCTGTGCTTCTGCAGTATTGTTAGAATTGTACTTTGATACTCCCCACCTTTCTTCCTCTTGCAAAGAGCCCAAAGCTGCTTACAAGTTTCACCTCCTCTGTTTTATCAGAACAACAACCTTGTGACGTAGGTTAGGCTGAGAGTCTGAGACTGGCTCCAAAGCTATCCAGCAAATCCCATGGCTGAACAGGAACTAGAATCCAGACTTCCTGCGTTCCAGGGCAGCACTCTTAAGCACTATATCACGCTGGCTCTCAATAGAGAGATGAAGGGGATAAGGGAACAGAGATAGCAGTGGACAAAGCCTCAATGTCAAAGCAGCAGAAAGTTTCCCAGGCGCAAGGAAAACAGAAGCTTTTCATCCTACCAACGGGGGCAGCCCTGTCCATCAGTTTTCAGTGAGGTGGTACACCTGGGCTGTTCAGCTTTACTATACAGGTCAGGACTAATATGAGGACTAATAAAAACTTTTTATTCACCCATTATTTTAAGGCTGATTAGGTTCAAATGTGGTTTTTATTTACTGGCTGTACTGGATGCTATGCTTTATTTGTTCTAATTGTAAGACTGTCCCAAGACTGCTGCGGTCAGACAGCACATGAATGAATGAATGAATGAATGAATGAATGAATGAATGAATGAATGAAAGGAAGGAAGGAAGGAAGGAAGGAAGGAAGGAAGGAAGGAAGGAAGTAAGTAAGTTACTCGGGATGTCCTTCTTTCCAAAAGAAACCCTGCTCTGTCTACAAATAAAAGTACATGGGGAGGAAGGATTGAAACCTATTCTCTTCTTCAACATCATGCAATTGCAAGCATTTGGAGAGAAATTTCTGACTTGTGGGTCTAAAATCACAGGGCAGGGGATGGCCACTGCAATAAATTCACAGGTGGGAGAGTCAGCAAGGGCCACAAAATCTGAGGGAAGAGCACGTGCGGCTTCTGCACCAGGAAATAGGCTACGGGGCGCCACAGATTTTGGTTCTCCAGTCCAAGCTGGGTTCACCTCTGAGGCTGTCAAGAAGCCACACAGCCTTTACCTCCAAATCGTTGTGTGATGTGGAGAGGCTCCAAGACATGCTGTAGCCCCCCCGCCCCCCCACATGAGCTTATCTGGCACACTGCATGTACTTGGAGAGATGCAGATGATCCTAAATGCTGTCCTCACCCGTTTCAGTGAATAGGGTCAGCGAGAGGAGATAAGAAAGCTGTCTGCCTGAGAACCGCAGTTACAGGGGTAACCACCCAGCATTTTGGACTACAACTCCCATAATCCCTCACCATTGAATTTGCTGTCTGGGGACTATGGGAGCTGCAGTCCAAACATATGGAAGAGTTCCCCTAGAACAGATGATATAAGCCTAGATGGACCAAGACAGACTCAGCGGTGGCGCCTAAGTTATGGAATGCGCTCCCCAGAGAGGTCCGCCTGGCGCCGTCGTTATTTGTTTTTCGGCGCCAGGCAAAGACCTTTTTATTTAAGCAACATTTTAAATGCTAATACAACTGAATTTTATCTGGCCAGGGCGGCTTATTTTATAATGTGTGTTTTAAATTATGATCATTTTATATGGATATTTTAACTTATTGTTTTATCTAGTGTTGTAAGCCGCCCCGAGGCTTCGGCGAATGGGGCAGCATAAAAAAAAAATGTTTTAATAAATAAATAAATAAAATAAAGTTCCTTATGTCCCTGTGCTAGCCCCTTCCTGTAGTCTGAAACAGAACCTGCTTCCGTCAGTGAGATCAGGCCGAAAGCAACACGAACAACCTGCCTTCCAAGGACAGCTTTGGCAAGAATCCACAGCCATCCAGCTGCCCCAGCGAGCAAAGGCCATTCTGCCATGATTCGTCTTTCCCTGCAAAATGAAGCCGCCAAGAAACACAGGCAATGACCCACAATGGACCACACTGCTCTGAGAGTACAGGCAGTGCTGCAAGCCCCAGAACCGTGCAGAGCAATCCCAAGGGACACTGCAGCTCACCAAAAGCACCGGAAACACCCTTCACTTCTAACTAGCAGGCCAAGAGTCTTTGGACCTTGTGGTAGCTTACTTCCAGATGCAAGCACAGAGTTTCCAAGGAATAAGGGAGGAAATAAAGTTTGGTTTCAGAGGACATCCTGGCTTTAATGAGTATTCAAATGCTGCTTTTCCCAAAAATCACAGAAACAGTGAAATCAATGGCTTGTGATGAAGCAGACGAACCTTACCCAAAGTGATACCTCCAAGGTGTGGGATAAACTCTCAGCATCCCTCAACCAGCCATGAATATTCATGCCACAGCCAACACGCCAGGTGTTGCAGGTACGGGCAAAGCGATCGGTCTCATTCCCAGTCCAAGTCAACTTCTCATGCCCTCACCATTCCTTCCTGTTCCCAGATTAATGTGTTTGCAAAGCATGTATTTTGAATATATTTTCTCACAAAATAGGCATTTCAAGAGACATTTCATATACATTTAAAATGCACAGTTTGAGTCTTTTTGAGCTAAGTACTGCCTCATGAAATTCGGAGCGGTGCACATTAAACCCGGAGGCATGAAGCAGATCAGTTTGTATCAAATGGATGACATTCAGATGCTTCAGACTTCCCTAAATCGTAGGTCTCTTGGTCATTTTTGCAGGAAATCACAGAAAGAACTACTTTTCTGGAAAAGTAAGAGGTGTTTATAAGGCATTTGCAACTGCTAAGAATGGGCTGAAAGTAACTAATGCAGGCCTGCATGCAAATCCCTGGATTAAAAAGTTTCCAAATGAGTTCTTCCCATTTACTGTGGGTACCTCCATACTTTATCATCAGCGTGCGAAGCTTTATTAACAGCAGCATTTCCTAGAAGTGGGATACAACCAGCACAAGAATGCAAACATTCTGTGTACGCACACGCCAGAAATCTAGTCCAATCAGTTTTCCCATATGAATAGATCCTGATACACAAAGATTTGTGTGCACTGTGTGATGATCACAGGTTGCGCGATTGCTGTGAGGCATCAGCATGTAACATCAGCATCTCTCCACAGTAACCACAAAGCTGGAGCTTTCCAAAGAAGCAGTAATACTAAAGTTAAACTGAACAAGGTGTTATTCGCAGGTAGCAGGTTACTCTATCCAAACACAGCCAGAGGCCCTCAAGATAAAATGTAGAGAAGATGATTTCGCAAAGCTCCAAGAGAAAACTAAAAAGCTAATATTTAAAAGTGTCAGGGGAAAGAGAGAGAAACCTGGAAAATTTCCAGGGGGCCTGGAAAATACTAACTCAGCATTCCATTCTCCAGTTGACTGCCGGACAGAGGGGTTTTTTTCCCCTCTCAAAGAGAAAAATAAAAGGACAGATTGGGGGAGAGACAGGTTATTGTACCATCACAGTAGAGTCTCAGTTCAGCAAACTCCCCTGGAATTATTGCTAGGTCGATGACAGCTCAATTAATCATTGTCTAACTGCGTCATCACTGAAACAGCACTTATCTGGATGCATTGTTCTCCAGCGGCCATAAACCTATTTTGAAATCACTACAAAACCAAATTATGGTTTTGTTTGCTCATTTGTGTAAATTTACACCACTGTTCAAAGTGTTGCATCCAAACTAATCTAGAAAAAAAATTATTAAATGACTGGGAAAATGCATACATATTGGGTACTGCATAAAATGATTTCAGCCTGTGGAGTATGGAAACAACACTTTGGATTTATAACCTGCTTTTGGGGGGAAATAAGTTTTTCACATAGGCTGTCCAGCAATCATTAGAGCAACTCTGTGAGGGAGACCAGCATTATTATCCCCATACTGCAGATGGAGAACTGAGGCTGAGAGAGAGCAATGCAATTAAAACCATCTACTGAGTTCATAGCAGGGTAAAGTTTGAAGGGGAACTTCCTAGGTCAATCCATATCCTTAGCCAAGCAGTTATCTAAAAATTAAAAGGGCAGATCTTAGAAATGTTCATGGGACTCCCTGATGTTAAAACTCAAGCATCCCTTCTTGGCAAGTGTCACCTTAGTGTGAAAAGATTCCCCTTCTCTGTGGATGTTCCCAATAAAGGATACTTCAGGTTCTCCATTAATCAACCTTAAAATAAATGCTGGAATAAACCCTCAGATGGCATTTTACTGGAGAAGCTTCCAGGACATCAGAAAGTATTAATTTTGTAGGGAGACTCCTCCATCTTAAGGAGAAGATGGGGCAGGTTATTTTTCATGGGGTCTTCTGCCTTCTTCAGAACCCACCCACCACCAGCAGCACCACCAAGCAATCCCCAGCCACCCCACAAAATGGCGGTTACCTTGCCGTCTCCTTCCATTCCATCTCTTGCCCATCCACAGCCAGGAGTTCGTCCAGCTCCGTGAAAAGCTGGGGCGGCGCGGGGCTGTCATCGTCCTCACCCAAAATGAAGCGGATGCGTTCGGCGGCGGGGGAGACTGCAGAGGTGAAAATACTGCGGTTAACGGACTGGAGGGCGACCAAGGACGTGCGGCTCCTCGCCTTCCCCTTCTCCCCACATCCATTCGGCTGTTTCTCCTGGTTGCCTGCTCCATCTGACATTTTAGCTCCAGGCGTGGGCACTTGCTTTTTTTTCCCCTAGGTGCCTATATCTATGTCTCTTTTTTCTTACACTTACTTCTAAAACTTCAGGCTCAGGGTAAAGTTCAAGAGGACGGGTGTCTTCTTCCCCCACTCCTTTAAGCGATGTGTTAACTGCAAGCCCACACAGCTCTTCGTCAAAAAACAGAGGAGAACTTCCAGGCTCAGCACCGATTTGCTCTATGGTGCATGCCCAGGGACCTTTAGTACTCTGATCAGCTGAGATCCTTTAAAGACTTTTGCTTTATAGGCAGAGAACCAGTTTAAGCCAAACTGTTTGGGGGGCACCTCATGGAGAGGAAGTAGCTTCCCACTGCCAACTCTCCCCTCCCTTTGTACAAGACCGGAGCTTTCATTGGCTTGCGGGGCAGCATGTAGCCCTCCAAGACTCATTACCAGCGTAAATGGGAATATTTAACAAAACAGGCCATCTCCTCTATTCATGGGAGGCTGCGCTCGGGTCCATTGAGTGAAGTATCAAATACACTGCACAAAGGGGAAGAAAATGGCCAACCATCCACAGGTAAAACACTTTCTGTGCATCTAAAAGGAGCATCATTTTGGGTCACAAAGTCTCGGGGTATCAATGTTTATTCTCAGGGCTCCTTTTGACTTGGTAAGCAGAGGGAGGAGGAAGCAAGGACTAGGCAACAGACAGACACAAGCCCAGCCGGTCACAGCTCCCAGGCCTGTGCATCGTGGCACAAGCTCTCCAGGACCAGATGACACATCATCTAGCAGATGGATTTCCAGTGGAGCTGCCTAAATATTATGCCTTCCATCATCACCACCACTTAACTTACCATGCCCATAGACACAGTCTATGTCAGTAAAAACGACATGGATTAAGGAATACATTGCCATGGACTAGAGACCATAAAAATTTAGGCCATAATCCATTGTTTAGTCTATTCAGTTTTAATAGGCCAGAATGCTTTAAAGACATAATCCTATGCAAGTAGAGAAAGAAAAACGAACTACAATTTCCATAGGCTGGGAGTTGTGGGACTTTTTGCCGTCTAAAGTTGCCTCGGTTCTCACCCTAACACACTAACATTTCCACCCCTCTGGGAACTGCTCAACGCTTGCTTTTTCCCCATTCACAAACTGCATTTTTAGACGTACAGTTTACACGCTGCAGGTGCAATTGCTGTGAGTACTGCCCCTTAATCAGCGTGGAGGACAAAACAATGCCCGATGACTAGAAGCTCTATCAGAAAGGAGCGGTATTTTTCTTACTGTTTTTATTGCAGTGAGGTGAGGAGAGGACTCAACCAAAAACACAGATCACCACCTGCTGCAGCTTCACCTGCAAGGGCTGCTCTAGGAAACATCCTACTCCCAGCTTCTTTACACAGACTTGTAAAAGCATCATAAAAATACATGCATGCATGAAGACTACATAGCACATCAAGCGCCGCGGCTGCTCTGTGTACAAGGAGTGGGGAGTCCCCAAGGACGCCAAACCCTCTTTCCGACCATCCTTTCTTCCGCACAGGAGGAGACATAAACATGTCCTGTTCAGGCCAGGACAACAACTCTCAGAACTCCTGGACATATTCTTCCACCTGCAATCTTGACATCTTTGCCCTAATTTCTGCTCTACAGCTGCCTACCTCCAAGGTGTAATAGGTGTCATAACACACGTTTTTTTCCCTTTCCTTCAAGTATGCTTCTTCCATTTTAAAGGGTCACCCACCTCTTCTAGAAGGGTCACCTCACTGCATGATGGGCACTTCTTCCTCAGAAGGCCCAACTCAAAGAGTATGTACAACCTAGGTTAGAACTTCACTCTCCCCCTGCTCTATGAGGTCCCATTATTTTAACATTCCGTTCAGGTACCTTTGTCTACAACTTAGGTTTAAATGACTGTGAACCAATTAAGGAATGTAGTTGAGGAAACCGCTGGCTTTTGACTGATTGCACAGCTAGGCTTTAAGACACTTTTCACAATACCAAAATATCAATACACACAATGAAAGTGTTTGCTGAATTTAATAAAAACTATTATTCACATGTTATGTTCTGATTCTCTTTCACACCAGAACCGAAACAACGGGAGGGTGCATAGTTTCAGCCCTAACAATTAAAACTTTTCTGTATGAATAATCCACTAAATGTTTTGGTAGATTTTAATATAATGGAAGAAGCCTTGAGTTAAAAAGGGATAGACAAACAGAAATGCTCAGCTTTTAAAACATTTTCTCACTGGCTTTTTTGTAACCATAGGAGTTTTGTAGCCCAAGACAAACAAGACAAGAATATCAAACCTACTTAAAAAGGGGAGAGAGGGATTTGTTCTAGGTTGAAAGTGAAGGAAAGGTACAATTCTTTGAGGATAATTTGCAAAGCAACGTCATTGAAAAAAGAGGAGAGGTGGTTTGTTTTAAAGAAACTTCTTCAATTAATAAGAAACTAATATTCGGTACTAAGAGGCAGTCCGCATATAAGCAGAAAACACCAACCATTCTGCCCATGGACCTCGGACAAAACAGCTTCCAAACTGTTCTTTAGTCCACTGCTGATGTAACTGACACTCATTCAGCCGTTCATAGGAAATTCAAAGAGCCCACTTTCCCTTATTTCCACTTGGCCAGATTCCATGCCTTTATCAGAGAGCAGCCTAGTCATAAGCCGCTTCTTTAAAAAAAAGGCAGGACAATATTTAGGAACGGAACAAGAAACACTGAAGGGCCAACTAGCTTTGCTTCTTCCATGAACTAATTTCCTATGCAAGCCAAGACAAAGGCAAACAACCCTGGTTGGGGGGGGGGGCAAAGGGAGGGAGATGCTCTATTTTACAGATGTAGGGCACCTGGAAGTCGACCTGCATTTGAAGAGGGTGCCCAGTCCACATCTGGTTTAAGATCAAAGACCCCTAAGGAAGGGCTGCAAAAGTGCCTTTGGGCAGCAGACAGAGCAGGGGCCAGGGTCGCCACCTTGGTCTTCTCCAATAGGGGAAGGTGTGCTGTATTTCTAAATTATCATGATTTCCCAATTTGTGCCTCTATGTAAATCTGCATGTGCAAACTGGTGTCGTCTTTCATCCTCTCTTGCAATGCCAAGGTAAATGGCCATCCAACCCTGGCATGAGCAGCCATGGAAGATGACGCTCTCGCCTTTTGCACGTCCAGGTCTTACTCCCATCCCTTGCCTCGACTGAAGTTCTGGAATAAGCCCAGAAAACAAGGACATGAGCAGAGCTTCTGTTGCAGTCATGCAGCAGGGAGGGAGTTAATGAGCCCCATGCAGACACCTCAGGGTAGAACTACACATTCCTCCAACATCCTGGTGCCTGTACGGTTCGACCACCGCTGGTTCTCCTACGCAAATCAAGGCCATGGACTCTGCTGAGATGCTCCATTCTGGAAATGAGTATCTCCGCTCCTTTAGGGTCACTTTTATGCCTGCACAAACAACAGATCCTTAAAATAATTAAGATGTTCTGATAATTTCACTGGGAATGAAGCATTACTAAATTACTCTGCATATAATATGGAGTGGACCCACATGACACAAGATAACAAAACTACAGTGGGTGCTAAGGCACCTCAGGGTTCCTTTTTCAGGATTCAGGAAAACCTGATGATTCCTTTGGGAGGATGTTATTATTGAACTCATGTCCTATATGGTGGGCTTCCTCTGGGCATCTCCCTTTCTGGCCACCATGGGAGGAGAATGCTGGACTAGTTCGCCCTTTCAGCTGACCTATACTGGCTTCTCTGTTTTTTTGGCTTTTTGGGGGGAGGGGCATTTATGCCTGCCATTCTGGATCAACGAAAAATTCAACTTGCTAGCAGTTTAGCCATAGAATACAATCAAATGATAAGATCCATCATTCCAGTGAAACAGTATCTATTTTCAGTTGGGGGGTTTTTAAGGCAAACAGAAAGCCTTCACCTGTCTTCTGAAAAATGATAAACATGCAGTACAATCAGGCCTCTTATATAGGGAAGTCAACCCTTTAGGGGCCATCACTGAAGTCTTTGAACCCTGACCCAAACTCTGCATTAGAAAAATCTCCCAAAGTCTTGAGGCAGCCCCCCCCCACCCTTTGCACAACAGCTGGGTGATATTTAGCTTATTTTTATTTTTTGTTTATCTTATTCATATCTTGTCTTTTTTCCTGCAAGGAACCCAAGGCAGCCTTCTTGACCCTACTGCTCTTCATTTTATCCTCACAACAACCCTGTGAGGTAGGTCAGGCTGAAAGTCAGTGCTTGGCCATAAGTCATCCAGAAAGCTTCATGGCCTGACTGAGGACTAGAATCCAGATCTTCCAAGTCCCACAACACTGTTCCCACTGCTGCACCAGACGGGTGCTCTTGTGTGATTCAGCCATAGAAAGGTACATATTATAATATTAAATATTGCACTAGTGGTACCCACCCTCTGGAGTCCTTTCTATTAAGCCAGACTTCCCTGCCCCAGAAAAGTCAAGAATACAACACCCAGAATTTCATGCTGGTTTGGGCTCCAGGAAGTTGAACTGCAGGACATCTGCAGGCTGCATTAAGTGGAATCGAAGTGTTGCACACAAGTGAATAAACAAGACTGCCTTTCTAGCATTCAGAAAGCCAAGGAGAAGGTTAGGAAAGCACTCCTCCTCCTCCCTGGTGTGTTAGTTTCTATATGCCCTCAGAGGTTCGTGTGTCCTTCCCACGCAGGCAGCATTCAGAAAGCAAACACCAACCCCCCACTCACAGCTGCAGATGTAAGTGGGACAATCCAGAAGGGACTGTACCACAAGCTATTTCTACTTAATTGAATACATCCCATTCCCCAGCATTGCATCATATGCCATATCAGTATAAATTCCCTTTTCATTCTCTTTATA